ATCTTAATTACTGCTCACACTATTCCTGCATGGCTCAATATTGGATCGTAAACTAATTTAAATACAAATTAATAATGAATTACGAAATTAACGAACGAAACCGCCCAAGCCTATTTGACAGTTCTTTTGTTCATAAGAATAGAATGCTTAGGGACAGCAAAGCTACTAAGACTCTCCTTCAACATCAATGTGTCTTTGCCAGCCAAGACTGGGCATGCTGGGAGACTGTTTTAATAAGTCCAGTAGCAAAAGGACCTGGTTCTGCGCAACAAAACTATTTCTACTTACATGATTCAATACGCTTGAGCAAATGATTTCTGACAAAGCAGCTGCAATGTGACTTCATTGAGCAAAGTGAACTTCAATAACAAGATGACAGTAAAAATCAACTTCACCTTTTTAAATTTTAAATTTGTGTATTTAAAAGAAAGAAAAAGAACAACAAAAATATATACATATAAAGAGAGAAAGAGAGCACTATTCTTTTTTCTTAGTCTGTGTGTATGAGTCACTAGTGAGGTGACCCCTGGATGCTCACGATCACTCCATTTGATTTCCTTTTGTATCTGGTGCTCTTACTCTCTCCCTTATATGGAAAAATCATGTATCTCTCAGTACATTGCAAAGTGAAGGCACACTGTTGAATAAAGATGTAAGGTAAGCTATATTGAGAGCGGCAACTTCCTAACACTAAGTATGGCTAAAACCATTGAGCAAATAGTTTCAAAGAATGAAATGTACCAGTGAATTTCAGTGAGCGGTTCTTAGTCCTGAGCAAAATCTAGAGTATTTGTCAGGCCATGATCAGGAGAATCTTTCTACTTAACAGGTGGGAAAGAGGGTAGAGCAAGAGTATCTTCTGCCCACTTTTCATAATCTCAGTGGGTTCTGGTTGCTTCTGCTGAGAACATACTGCAAAGACAATGCCAGACCATTTCTACTCCTGGAACACAATGGCTTTGATATAGTCTGAGGCCTCATGTACACTGCCATAAACTACCTTGTCACATGGGCTGCCGGAATTGCTGCATGTCAAGGTGAATCTGGTGACCATCGTCGGTGGGCGTAGGGAACTCATCGCCCCACACCCCGCATCAGACAGCTCAACAGGAAGCTGATCCCATGGGGGGAAGCATTGACCGCGTGGATTCCCCCATTGTTTCCTGCATGTTGCCACATCCACAGCATCTAGAGCTCAACTGGCCTATACTGCTGAGAAAGCCCCATCTGAAAAGGTCAATAATGCAGTTTCAGAATGCAATTAATTGCATTGAACTGGATTGTATGAATCAAGGAACATGAAAGGCACTGCAGACTACTTCAACCAGAGAAGTCAGCCATAGCAGAGCACCTGATGAACCAACCTGGACACAGCATATTATTTGAGAACACAGAAATGCTGGACCACTCTTACAACCACCATGTCAGACTACACAGAGAAGCCATTGAAATCCACAAGCATGTGGACAATTTCAACAGAAAGGAAGAAACCATGAAAATGAACAAAATCTGGCTACAGTATTAAAAAACTCTAAAATTACAACAGCACAACAACAGAGAGGAAACAAACAAGGACAACTAATTACCTCTCAACAAAAGTTTGCTCTAGGCACTGTCAGGCCATTATATGCTAATCAAGGTGGTCAGTTGAAACATTTACACCTAGCTCCATCAGACAAGAGTCCTTTGTCCCACCCTGGTCATTCCACAGATATATAAACCCTTTCCTAGTTCCAACAGACCTCACTACCTCTGAGGATGCTTGCCCTAGATGCAGGTGAAACGTCAGGAGAAAATGCCTCTAGAACATGGCCATATAGCCCGGAAAAACCTACCACAACCCAGTGATTCCGGCCATGAAAGCCTTCGACAATACATTGGATTGTATGACTTTACACTGCCATACAATGCAGTTCAATGCATTCTGAAATGGCATTTTATGGCAGTGTAGATGGGGCCTGTGTTTCATAAAGTTGTCTCGGGTTGGTGAAACATTAACATCATAAGATACATTCTACTGTCTCAAAAAAAACTAGCATGAATATTAGAAGACTGGATAAATGTACATCTGAATTGTTCAGATATATAAGGATCTTCTTTGTTTTTATCTGTGCTTATCGGCAAGTAAATCCCAGAGAGTTCAGAGGAACAATCTGAAATAGAGAAGAGGACAAAATAGAGATGAGGACAGCAGCTCACATCCCAAATACAGCCTGTGTGGGTCTTTCATCTGGTCTTTGAACTATCTTTGTGATTATGATTTATCAAAGTTAAGAGAATAATCTTTTTTTAAATGTAGGAAACTATAACAAGGAACTGATCTGTCCTTCGCAGCCCAGAAAGGTGTTGAATGGATATCACCTAAGTTTTGGAGTACAAAAACCTGTTGCACCGGGACTTATTCCTGCACAGTTATGTGTTGAAATGAGTTGATCTTTTGCCCAAATTAATAGGAAGTACACCTTACCATCTTCTTTGCTTTGGTCCCACCCTCAGATCATCCAAGGGCTGTATGATAAACAGACATCCAAACCCTCCTTAACTATGTGAAGCTGGTTATGTGCTACTGAGATCTATTTCATAATTATCAAGGTTTATTTAGGGGCAAAATGTCTATGGAGATGTTCCTATGAAATGCCCTTTGTGTATAAAGGACAGTGAGATACTTTCATGGAATCATGGCCATGCTAAAGTCATGTGAACCTGAACTTACTGCACAAACGCATTCATTTCATGTTTCCAACGTACCCAATATAGACCAGAAAAGAATTACTCTCCCTTCCATAAATGGTTTATTTTGCAAAATGTGCATGCAGATGGATGTTGTTATTTGCTTTATCAGGAGAATTCTGGGAAAAGTTGCAGTACAGAACTTCTTTCTCATAATTTTCGGTCAGTATCCATTTACGGACCGGCCCTTTAAGAAGAAAGCAGCCTTGGGCTTTTGGAAGAGGCAGAAAACCCAGCCAAAAAGAGAGAGAGATTGTCACAGACAGTTTGCCAGTGCATGAGACAGAACCTAGGTTAGTCTGGTCTTACTGCTACGACAAGATGGCAACATCACACCCTCTCCCTGAAGGTTTCACTGAACTTGAAGTATTTGGTTTTGGCACAGTGATGATGGTAGAAGGTAAGCTGCGATGGGGTGTGATGAGGTAAGGTAAAGTAGAATGGATCTTCTCCTTGTTTTTGTTGTTCAGGCAAAGCTGCAGTTTGAAGAAGAGCAAGGAAAGATATCTGAAGCTTTTGACAATGTGAAGAAAAAACCTTCAACATTTGCAGTGGACTTGTATAGGCTTCAGGGTAAATGATGTTACTATGGCTACGCCATTGTTCATTATGTCTTTATAAAATGGGACAGAGGTTGTTTGCAAGGCATGTTATGTAACTAGACTGTTGAAGGAGTGCAAGTTGAGTTTGTTGTTGGAAAGATTCAGGGAATAAAGATCTGTATTGTGTTTATTCTGTGGGGGCTTTAACAAGCAACATTGCTTTTAAGATGTAAGAATTACGTATTGCATTCTCCATCCTCCTTCTCCAGAAGTGGATCTTATTGCTTTCCCTGTCTAACCATCATTATTCCAAATAATAGCATCCTTTCTGTTTGTATAGCAATGTGTAAACATGCAGAGTAGGCAAGGGTAATATTAAACATAAGGTAATATTAAACATGTCATTTTGACCAAAAAAGGTCAATCTCAAAAGTCCTGCAAAATTTACTTTTCTCTGATGGTATTGTTTTTCTGCATAGCTTTTCTAGTGTCCCATGGATAGTCATTATTGTTAGAATTCCAATGCATTTTGCCAATACATTCACATTACAATAAAAAATAGCTGAATGTTGCAGCTTCCCATGTGGTCTAGGAGGAAACATTCCTTAAGTTTGCATTCTTTTTTCTGCATTTTCCAATTTTATTCTCCGATCCTTAGACAAAAAGTTTTGTTCTACTTAGAATCTCGTCAGGTATCCTGCACTGTGGTTCATAAAACACATTATTTTCTTGTAGACTTCTTACATTTTGATTGAAAAGATAATAATCCTGGACTAATTTAAACATGTACACAATTCCCACTACTTTTTTTAAAGTCTAGGAGTTGTCAGATAGATAAGTAGATAGGTAGATACTAGGTAGATAGGTGTGTAGATATAAGCTGTGTCTCTAAAATCCCACTGACAAGTTCTTTGACTGCAATGTTCCCAACGTTATGATAATTTGTACTAAACCAAGCATGTTCTTACCAATATATTGTAGACTCACCTCTGAGGATGCTTGCCATAGATGCGGGCGAAACGTCAGGAGAAATGCCTCTAGAACATGGCCATATAGCCCGAAAAAACCCACAAGAACTGAGTGATTCCAGCCATGAAAGCCTTCGACAGCTATTTTATTATTTTGACTGTATTGTAGACTTTAGGTTCAGTAATAGTATTGAGGATTGAAAAACTGGTCATAGTACATTTGTTGCTAATCAAAGAATTATTCACTTGAGAAAGGGAGCAATGTGTGCATTTTGTCTACTTCTGAAACCTTGTCATTAATGTGGCTTTGATCAACTAAGTTAAAGTTGATATCATTGTTATGGGCTATAAGTTGTGGTACTGTTCACAACTGGTCAGGAATAATCCCCACAACGCGGACTTCCTTCTGGGCAGTTTTCCTGTAAAACACATGTATTAACACATTGGTTCAAATACATGGGATTTAAGTGTACTTTACCACTGTTTGCTTGTGTAGGGACCAACTGTCCATCAGCAATTACTTCTCACTCATTTACAGAGCAAATCTAACAGGAGTGATGGTGGAATTATCTGAGTGATCATCCACCCATTTCAAGCCTCTGTTGTGGCCAGGAGAAGAAAATTATTTTTTCTAATCCTTGAAACTGTCTTTGTTAACAAAAATCCTCTTTTGAAATCTACAGTATGGAAAACTTAAGACATTACATTAATCTTAAATCACTGCAGTTTGTGCCCCCAATTGAGAATGATGTCAGGGAGGTGGAGAAAGATTCGCATCTGGTAGGACAATGGCTTCCTATGATTCATAATTTGAACAGCCTACTTTTGACCTCATCACATGTAGAAAAATCACCATGATGTCAGGACGCTTCCTCCTTGGAGCCCACCAAATGCCATCACATGACGTAAGGGAAATTCCGGTGGGACTCCATAGAAGAAGCATCTTGGCAGCATGGTAAGATGCTTCCCTGGGAACACCTATTCAATAGGGATGAATGAGAGAAAGTCAGGCAGTACTGCTTCCTCCTGTGGGATGGGGTAAGGGGTGCACAGCGGCCAATGCAAGACATGGAACAACCATTTTCCCCACTGCACCATAGATTTGACATCATTTGGTAAATCCCCCCACAGCCCCACAGATTCAGACCTCCATATGATGAGTTCCTTAGTCTCCACTGATGGGAATACTATTGCCCGTAGCTCATCACTTTCTATGGAAATCCCAAGGTTCTCCAAAATAGTCCCATATGCCACCCTACCACTGAGGAGACCTACTTCATCCTGCTTGTCTTCAATCAGTCTTTGGCAGGAATTTTATGTTGCTATGATATATTCTTTTTAAGAAATGCCATTCCAAAAAAGCAAACTCTCTAACATGACTTGGATCTTTTAACTGTTTCAGATGAAATGCAGGTCAACAAGCTTATAGACTTTGTTCCTGAGAAGATTCAAGTAAAAAAGAGGATGTTCAGTTTTTGTTTTGGTTTGTTTGTGGGTTTTTGCTTTTTGCTTGTTGTTGCAAGATAACAAAAGTTTGAAAAGTTTGCATGCAATTCAGTTATTTGCTGAAAATCATTTGCTCTTCTCTAGGGGTATATCAAGGGAAAGTGGTATCTTTTTCTTCCTGTAAATGCTGTTCCCTTTATACAAGCTTCTGAAATAAAGAACTGTTAGGAAGCTAATATAAAGGAACTGAAACTGTCAGGAAAATTTATAGAAGAAAGACAACACCTCAGATTCTGATAAGGTGCATGGTATTAAGCTGCTGCCTGTATAAAGGAAGCTTTAGTCAGAAATACGCTATCTGTAAATATAACCACTGATAACATTTTATGTGCCAATCAGTCTATACAAACAAGGAAAGCACCAACGGATAATCCCTCTCTGCTAAAAGTTACGAGGCTATTTTCGCTCTTGTTCTAACCATTCCTTGGGCACTTCTTTGTCCCAAGACATTGTGTGTGAGCCTGCCTGCAAGCCTCCTGTCGACTTATAATGTTCCCATGAATTTCATAGGATTTTCTTAGCCAAGGACTAGAGGTGGTTTTGCCAGTTCCCTCTTCTTTAATCTAACCTACAGCATCTGACATTTGTTGGTGGCCTGCCATCCCAGTACTAATCAGAAATAACCCTACTTAGCTTCTAACATCAGATATATCTAGGCATTTAGGGTATGCCATCACACAATGGGTATGCAGTTCTAAGATCTTCCGGGGAGGCTCTCCTTTCACTCCCACCACTGTCACAAGTACGGTTGGTGGGAATGAGAGAGAGGGCCTTCTCAGTGGTGGCCCTCTGGAATGCCCTTCCAAGGGAAATAAGACAGGCCCCATCCCTCCTCTCCTTTCATAAGAGCTTGAAGACCTGATTGATTCAACAAGCGTTTGAGAATGACCACTTCTTGTCCAGCCCAAACATTGTTGAATATTGCCTTGCACTCTTACCTATTACCCCAGTCATCCCTCTAATAGGCCCTGGAAATGAGCAGCCACAGACCCATACCTGCTATTGCCATTAGCCTGTTAGAGCACTGTTCTTAATTCCCAGTGCCCTCATAGAATCATAGAATCAGAGTTGGAAGAGACCTCATGGGCCATCCAGTCCAACCCCCTGCTAAGAAGCAGGAATATTGCATTCAAATCACCCTTGACAGATGGCCATCCAGCCTCTGTTTAAAAGCTTCCAAAGAAGGAGCCTCCACCACACTCCAGGGCAGAGAGTTCCGCTGCTGAATGGCTCTCACAGTCAGGAAGTTCTTCCTCATGTTCAGATGGAATCTCCTTTCTTGTAGTTTGAAGCCATTGTTCCACGTCCTAGTCTCCAAGGAAGCAGAAAACAAGCTTGCTCCCTCCTCCCTGTGGCTTCCTCTCACATATTTATACATGGCTATTAGGCCTGGGTAACAACGGAAAAATTTGTTTCTAAAATCGATTTGTATTTGGGGGTTTTTTTGTTTCGATATTTAAAATAATTACAAAATTTTCCTTTTAAAAAGTTCGATATTTACGAAATTTCGTAAATGGTAAAAAATTAACGAATCGATTTCCGAAACAATAACGAATCGGTTCGTTAATGGCGGACGCGACCGCGAAATACGCTAAAAAACCTCCAAAAACTTCTGAAGCTTCCCTCTCCCTCTGTTGTTGACTGTTGGTGTGATATTATAATTTTTTTCACTAATTAAACCATAAAACTGCCCCAGACATGCGGAAATAATAACGAAACGACCTCAAAACAATAACGAAACGAATACAATATCGAAATACGAAGCATTTACAAAACGTTTTTGAAAATTCGTTTTTTTTAATAATTGCTCCAGAATGGGTCGTTATCGTTTTGTAATTGAAAAAATTAACGAATTATTAACGAATTACGAATTAACGAAACGAAACCGCCCAGCCCTAATGAACATTTTCTCTCTGCCTTCTCTTCTTCAGGCTAAACATGCCCAGCTCCTTAAGCCGCTCCTCATAGGGCTTGTTCTCCAGACCCTTGATCATTTTAGTCGCCCTCCTCTGGACACATTCCAGCTTGTCAATATCTCTCTTGAACTGTGGTGCCCAGAATTGGACACAATATTCCAGGTGTGGTCTATTTTGAGTTGCACTAGCTTTTAACTCCTCTGAATAGGCAGGATTATTTTTTAATATACATGTGTTATTGTGATAATTTTATGCTTATGTTATTTTATTAATTTTATGTTATGCTGTTTACTTTGTATGTTTCAGTGATGTTACTTGGAAACCACCCTGAGTCCCCCTTAGAGCGGTATATAAATAAAGTTTTATTTATATTATTATCATTAAACAAATAATCTGTAAGCACTTAGAAATGAATGCAGTGATAACTAAAAATCAACATGAGATTTCTAAAAAGTAATTGCTAGCTGTTGAAGGTTTCTAGCTTCCTTAGCAGGGAATCCTGTCAAAGTCCTGGTTGATCTCTGATATATGGAAATGACCAGGATTGAGGACACAATTGCTCTTAAGCATTTTGTCTCACAGGGTGGAGTTAAATGAGCCTGCTCTAAGATGGTGGCAAAAATGAAATGTGTGAGACAGAGACTTGAGAGACACATGCAAAAAAAAAAACACCTCAGACGAGAGATTTGTTATACAGCATCTCAAAGAAAAAATAAATAAATCACTCAACAGCCTACTGTGAAGCATTTTCCAGCATTCTGCAAATCGGATAACTCAGATTCAGTCTCATATTAATGCCAGAACTGATACAGGTCCAATGGCTGTAACTTTTCCCATTACTGGCAGTCCTCAAGTTATGAAAAAGATAGGGTCTAGAGGTTTGTTCTTAAGTTGAATTTGCATGTAAGTTAGGACAGATACATTTATTAAGTGTAGCTGCAGCCAATATATTTGGCTAAAGTTATACTTAAGAAATGTACCTGTTCAGACCCTTTGTGTTGTTTATTCATTCAGTCGCTTCCAACTCTTCGTGACCTCATGGACCAGCCCATGCCACAGCTCCCTGTTGGCCGTCACCACCTCCAGCTCCTTCTGACCCTTTACGTACATAAAATAATTGGGAGAGGTTATCTGGAGTTTTGGAGTCAGGTATCGCCAGTATGTAATGATACCAAGCTCTATTACTCCTTTCAATATAATTCCAAGGAAGCTGTTCCTGTGCTGTACCAGAGCCTGGCAACTGTAGTGCACTGGATGAAGGTGAATACATCAAACCTTAATCTAGACAAGACAGAGATATGTCTGGCCAGTCAAGAGACATATCTGGCAATAGGGATTAAGTCAATCCCTGGGTTACACTTCCTCTAAAAATTCAGATTTGCTGTTTTGGGGATTCAGCTCAGAGATTTGAGTTCCAGATTTCATTAGAAAACAGGAGTGTGTTCACACAATTAAAACTAATGCACCAATTGTGCCAGTTCCTGGAAATTCAGATCTGGAAACAGTTACATATGCCTTCGTTATACCCCATTTGAATTACTATACTGTAACAGCACTACATGCAGTCATGCTGGCCAGACAACCTTGGAAGGGTCTACAGACAAGATCAGCTCTTCAGCTTAGAAGTGGAGATGAGCACCACCCCCAGAGTTGAACATGACTAGACTTACTGTCAAGTGGAAACCTTTACATTTACTTTTACACACTCTATGGGGGCAACTATCAAAAAATCTCAGGAAGCCCAAGGATTCCTAACTCTGATAAGTTACAGGGACAGTAACATGACCATGCTATGCCCCTGCTAAAGTACCTTTACTGTCAGCCAATTTGCATCCGGGCACAATTCAAAGTGATTATTATGACTGATAAAGCATAATCATCATATATTTCCCTTTATGGGACTTTTAGGGTTTTGAAATCATCTGAAGCGGCCCATCTCTCTATCCCATCACCTTTTCAGACTCCTTTGGTGCAGACAAGGGAGAGGGCCTTTTTAGTGACTGTTCCCAATCTTTGGAAGTCCCTTCCTATGGAGATCAGGATAGCTTCTTCCTTGGTCTCAGTCCGTTGGTAACTGAAAACATTCTTGTGTAGCCAGGCTTTTGGAAATTGAAAAGAGTAGGCTTTTAATGATGTGCTATGCTTTTTTGTTCTATCTTTCCCCTGTAATCTTTTAATTAATTTAATGTTGTAATCTAATAAATTGTTTAATTGCTTTTTAGACAGCTTGACACTTAACACAAAAATGTATAATTTTTAAGCAGCATTGTTTTAGATATGTTGTCAGCTCCTCTTGAGCCACAATGTTGGGAGGAAGGCAGGATATAAATGAAGTAATAAATAATAATGGTATTAAAGAAAAATGAATATAAATAGATTAAAAAATAAACAGAGAAGTGCCCCCATCCACCCCCAGCATCTCCTAGACAGGCATGTATATAAGAAGAGAAGCTATCTCAGATAGTGACATCTCAAACAATTTAGAGTGGGCTTATGTCTAGTTTGTTCACAACAACGATGAATATTGCTGCTGTTAGAGAGACAGTGTGGTGCAGTAGTTGTAGTTCAGGAGCACAACTATGTGAAATCAGGATTTGAATTCATACTTGGCCATGGAAACCCACTGAGTGACTTTGGGCTACTCACACCCCAACCTCAGGCAACGCCAAACACCTAGTGAACAAATCTTGTGGAGGTAAAAGTAGTGATAGGTTCACTTTAGCATTGCCATCAGTAAAAAAGAAAAGAAAGAAAGTACGCAGCAGCAGCAATAACCGTTTGGGGGATTTCAAAAAATGTACTGAAAATTGATGACAAAATGTGTTTCTTTTCAGCATTGCTTGGCTTCTCTTTGAACATGTTGACCATTGTCTCTTTCTGGAAAATCAGAGAACTTCGAACTCCTGGTAACTTTCTGGTTTTCAACCTCGCCTTATCCGACTGTGGGATCTGCCTCAACGCTTTCATTGCAGCGTTTTCTAGTTTTTTAAGGTAGATTTTCTTTCTTTCTTTCTTTTCTTTTCTTTTCTTTCTTTCTTTCTTTCTTTCTTTCTTTCTTTCTTTCGACAATTTATTTACCACTTTTCCATTAGAAAAAAGGATATGCACAAAATATAACTGAGAAACAATTAGTAATAAACACGTGCARTGTATGTCATTTTAAAATATCAATAAAATGATATGTTTCTGCTATATGAAAACAATATTTGCTGAATATTGGCTACATAGTAAAAAAGTGTCTTGATATGACAATATTTGAACATGCTGGATTCAAAATCCAAATAGTAAAGTACAGGCAGTTCCCAAGTTATGAACAAGATGRGTTATGTTGGTTTGTTCTTGAGTTGAATTTGTTTGTAAGTTGGAACAAATACATTTTTAAGTGTAACTCCATATATATATATATATATATATATATATAGCAAAGGGAAGGGTTAACATCCCTGTGAGATWTRTWTWGTTGTCTGTGCCMTWGKKCACAAGATTTCCTCACTTTCCATCCCTGTGATATTTGAAGTTTGAAAAAATTGGCTTGTTGCGAAAACAAAGATTAACAAGAAAGCTTCAGTTGAGACACATTTTCCCCATGGTAACTTTTTAAAGAGTAAATTTCCCTTCTGAGAGGTAGGTTTCTCTCACTTCCTGTTGTTCCACCCTTATTTGCAAATATGAGTTGTTTGTAAATCAGATGCTTGTAACTTGGGGACTGCCTGTAACTATATCTGGTCATTTCTATGAATAGAAAAACCTCAAATATAGATAAGACTGTTACCATGTTTTAAGACAGTGGTGACAACTATTCAACACTTTGAACAACTAATTTAAAATTCAGATTATAAACCCAGAAGAGATCTAGCGTCCCACCAACATGGAGAAGATCCACAAGTGGAAAAACATTGGTATTTAAAATTTACCGCAACTACTTTACCAGTCACTGCATATAGGATGGTTTCCACCCACCAGGAATCTTTGTAGTCCTTGCAACTTGCCTGCGGAAAAACAAGTTGAAATAGCATGAGGGAGTCAAATTAAAGAAAATATATAATGATAGAAGAGTTTAAGTATTTCTTCCAAATTTCTAATTTTACAAAATTTCGGTGGCAGCTGCTGCAGTAGTATCCACCCTAGTCTGAACTCTAAATGAATGATCCCAGGGGTTGAAATCTAGTCCCCAAAAGAGGTTCAGCATATCAGAAAGCTCCAGAAAGTTCAGATTAAAACCCAATTGGATTCACCACTGTATTGACATAGAGGCTATCATTCTTTGCTACTTAATTTTCACTTCCTTTGAGTAACTGGTGGTACCCTACATCTGCCTTCTACTGATGATACTCCAATTCTCATCTTCCCCATGCAGTAGAGGGCACCAGATTAGGGAGACTGCATTGCACAGATGCTGATGCCTACTTTGACAATTTAGGCCCCATCTACACTGCTATATAATCCAGATTATCAAAGCAGATAATCCAGATTATCCGCTTTGAACTTGAGTCTACACTAGCATATAATTAACTTCAAAGCAGATAATCTGGATTTTATATAACAGTGTAGAAGGGGCCTTATGGCCCTTCTACATAGCTACAAAGCCCAGAATATCAAGACAGATAATGCACAAAGTCTGTTTTGAACTGGATTATCTGGGTCCACACTGCCATATAATCCAGTTCAATGTGTGTTTTATACAGCTGTGTGAAAGGGACCTTGGTGTCCATCGGAGGGATACTACAGTCCCATACACTGGATATTCTTCAACTGTTTCTGTTGTCTCTTTTTAGGTATTGGCCCTATGGTTCAGATGGATGTCAGATTCATGGATTTCATGGTTTTTTAACAGCACTGACAAGCATAAGCTCAGCAGCTGCAGTTGCCTGGGATCGACATCATCAATATTGCACTAGTAAGAGTTCCTGCCTGGTTTGTGATCTTAAAATACTTGATTGCTTACCAATGGGTTCTGGCTTAGTATAAGAAGATGGGACTGGCTGCTAAAGTGCGGCATAAAACATGATATGGGCACGCAAAAAATATTTAAGGTTTCTAATGACTTATTCTGTGTTCATGATGGAGAGTGGTGTAATGGCCAATAATCTGTGATTATTTCAAAACTTTAGTTCATTTTATTTAGTATTATCTATATTTAACTCATATATCGAAACAGGATATGTTTCTTCCAGACCTACCTAGAAGTGCCAGGGACTGAAGCTGGAACTTTCCCCTAAGCCATGGCCTATATTTAGTACTTTTAAGGCCACTTGCTTCAGTGGGAGGGTTTACAGTATGTTTCAATGGAAGTTGAAATCACAGGAACATGATTGTTCTGTCGTGTGCTGGGCCTGTAATAGCTGTACTTTTCTATAGGACGTATACTTTAAGCCCAGCGGGAAGCCAGGGGGCCTCAAAGAGAGGTTCTCAGGGATTTTTCTGAAGTGATGGTCTTTAGAGTCTTTAATGATGCAACAAAGTCTTTATTATGGAACAAACAACAAATCTTCAATGGTTCAAACAACACTTCAAGGCTTTCTTAGTCTAGTCCTCAATGGACTGGTACCTGACTTTGATTAACTAACTTTCTCTGTAGGAAAAACCCTTTTTAACCTCTCCCAGGCTGCTTTCTATCTATGCCTCATCGGTGTGGCTACTACCGATTCCAAATGCGTCTGGGTATCGAGTAGACCTACCAGCCGAGGCTTGAAGATATTTCAGCTGGAGTTCAGTGGATCTGTAATGCTGTTCTCCCTTCGAGAAATCTTAGAAACTTCAGGGCTGTTCCCTCTGATGCTGTGAGGCTGGAAGGCTATGAGCTCTCAGCCAGAGCTTTTGGGACCTTTCTCCTGGAGTTTCTGCTTCTGTATGCCCGGATGTTACTTTTTCCCTGGATGCTTAATTCCCCTGGATGCTCTTGAGAAAGGAAGCTTTTCTACGGGACAAGATGGTCTACGACCTATAGCTAAGCTACCTTGTGTGAGACTGCCCAAAAAATGGCTCCTTTCCCTCCCAGAGCCCAGAACAAGGGGTGTAAGCAAAGCTTAGTTATGATGGACAGGAGGCCTGTCCTATGACTGCAAAACATATAACAGAAAGAAAATAAAGTTGGAGCTCCTGGTACAGCCGTACCAGCACAATGATAGTTCATGAATTTGGTTAAGCTTTACCTTTTGTGTGTTTGTTATTTATTGTTTACTATGGTTAAGAACTCCTTAATTAGAACCAGATAGAAGAGAGGTATTCTGTGTCTTTCCTAAAAGACCAACATAGGACAATATCACATTATACTGTTATAGCGCAATTGTTCCACTTCAGCTGCTATGGCTGCCTCCTGTGGATTTGTAGCATTTTTAGTTCAGTGAGGCTCAAGAGCTCCTTGGCTGATAATTTTAAAGGGTTCTCCCTAAACTGCAAATCCCAAGATTCCATAGGGAGCAGGCATATAATTTAAAGTGGAAAAATAACAATATAACATGAAGGAGAATATCAGATTTCAAAGAGGAATTCCATTAACTGAAATAATATATTCAATGGACCTGTAACAATAACCCCTAGCTCACATGCTCCCTCACCCCATAAATAGGGATTGAATTGATGGCTAGAGTTGGCAAGGGGAACAATGGAAAGCATTCGGGGAATGTTGTAAGAATAACTCAACCTGGTGTTAACAAAGTCTAATCCACTAACCCCATGACTATGTGGAATCAGAGGAATTGTAGCATTACAAGGTCTTCAGCCTTTTCTGCCAATGAGTTCTGGTGCTTCATCAAACCAGGATCCCATAGCATTTGAGCAATAGCAATTAAGGTGCCATCAAGCTGCATCAATTCTACAGTGTAGATGCACCTTAGAAGCAGAGCTCAGAAAAGTTACTACCAGCTGTAACTTTTTTTAGGGAAGCTGTAGCCTGAAAAAGTAACTCTTTAGAGTTCTGCTTGTAAGTTTGGTCAGAAGCTTTCCTTTCTGCAACTTCAAGGGCACCCAGTAGTATATAGACCATGGCATGAGTACAAATGATTGGATCCCCCATGCATTCCTTGATCCTATTCCAGATCAGACCCAATCCCAGATCAGACCCAATCCCAAAACTACTTTTTCTAACATGCGAAGAAACCAAGAATCACTATCTACAGAATTCTCACATCATATATTGTTTACATAGCAAGAAGGTAGGTATAGCTTGGCATGAGTATTCCATTGAACCACATGATATACCAGCATATTCCAAAAGCTTTCCACTGACTCTGCATTGGTACAGTGAGAGCTAATTGACATTCTCTTTAAATGAAGATGAAGAACATGAAGAGGAACTCAAAAGCCCTAGAGCTATCTTGGTTTACAGTTCCAATTAGCCCCACCTAGCTTAACCATTGATAAAGAACTGAAGAAGTCATAGTCAACAAATCTGAAGATCTAATGGTGTCCCAGCATTGTTGAAACATTACCAAACCTGATCCAGATCCTTTTTTTCTGTGGAAGACCTTATACTGATATATAAATCACTGGACTGTAAGAAGGACCAGAACATGGAGCTGTTTCCCACTGAATTGTTCCTCTTGGACAAAGTGGCCTCTCATTACTTGTGGATAACGGCTAAAGAAACCCTATGTATTCAGGCACTAACAGTGTTTCCTTTTGCATTTTTAGCTTTTTTAAAAAGAAACAGAACAGTAGTGCTTTCATTGTAGAAAAGCTGCTTTACAAGCTTGTGACCCAAGATTATTTCAATATAAGATGTACAGTCATTAGTACTTGTTTTCCTAAAAACTGCTGACTGTTTTTAAATATTTATCCTGTCTATATATCAACCCTCAAACTAAAGTCAAAACCACAGATAATCATAGCCAAGCATCTAAAAATCTGACTCTATGGACATTATCCCACAGACAGGAGAGAGGCAGGGAAAAGTGTTTGCCTGCTAACCCCCGAAATAACGAGACCACACATCAATATTTGGGTTTAAATATGGGCAACTTTTATTAATTGTTAACTATTAAACTTTGACTGGATGTAAACCTATGAATCCTGAACTTGGTGGCAAAACCGAGGTAGCTTCCCTGCCTGGCCTACCCTCAGCTAGTTAGGGCAAAACACCCGGGTCTCCAGGGAACCTAATCTGGGCAACCTCTAAGGGAAATGTGTCAGAGAAGTCCCTGTCGTGGTATCTGAGACCCAACTCTCCCCATTTCTAGGCCATTAGAATTCCCCTCACCTCATCAAATTGAACCTTAGGTGAGTGTTTTAGTTAATGGCCTTTACCCCTGAAGGGGGTGCCTTGGGCGTACACCAAATTTTAGCTTTTCTTAACTGTTTACCGTGACCACCTATTTAATGACACACCGTCCCAATTTGCCCTGCAACAGTATAGGGTAGGCCCCTTAACAGCAACCCTAATATACTTTTTAATGGGCGGGAGTGGTGGGTCGATGCTTGGCTCCACACTGAAGAAAGGGGGCAGACCAGGCCAAGAGCCTGGCTCCACCCCTTTCAAATAGTTCTAACCGGAACTCAAACTGGTCTCTCCTCGGGTGAAGAGGCAAACTTCTCTCCCATCCTAGCTTTGCAAGGATGGGAAAGGTTCTTAGAAGAGTGGGAAGTCATCTTACCCAGCAAGGTCTGTCTTCAGTGATGGCCTGCCCTCCCATGATCTTTCCCTGTCACTGTCTTAACAGTGGCTCTGATTCTTCCTAGAGGGCTGTACCCTTGTTGGAGGACTCCTGTTCAAACTCCTGGCAATTGACCTGTGGGGTTCCGCGGGGTTCCATTTTGTCCCCCATGCTGTTTAACATATACTTGAAACTGCTGGGAGAGGTCATCTGGAGTACTAGAGTACAGTGCCACTTATATGCAGATGACACCCAACTCTACTACTCCTTTCCACCTCAAACCAAAGAAGCTGCCCTGACCCTAAACCAGTGTCTGTCACCAGTAATGGACTGGATGGGGGCAAACAAATTGAAACTAAATCCAGACAAGACAGAGGTACTCCGGGTCAGTCGGAAGGCAGATCAGTGAATAGGGTTCCAGCCTGCACTGGATGCAGGGGCAGCTCAACCCATTATGCAAAGTAAGCATTTGCAGTCTTAGCCTGGGGGGGGGGGGGCTTGAGCCCCCCCCCCCGAAATTCTCATGATGGTTCGCAAAAAGACCTTACTGGTGCATTATTTAAACTGCTTTGTTTATTCATATCATGATCTGATCACTATACTCAATATATCCCATATGCATAGGGGTATTGGGATAACAATACAAAAGGTTTGCTAGGGTAGACCCTCTTTCACTCAGATTCAGCCCCCCCGCCCCCGAAACAAACTCGCCCCCCCCCCTTACGAATCGAAATCCTGGCTACGGGCCTGTTTGCAGTATAGTTGATTTTGCCCAGGGTACTCGTGTTCTATTTTAAAATGGTCATATGACTGATCAAATAAATATATTTTTTATATTTGAAACATTGTCTAGTACAGTAGTTAGTTGTAGCATGTCTTCCTTCATATTAAAAATCAAATTTAGTTTTGTGGGATAATTATTTATATTTTCTTCATCACTGATTCAACTTGATATTTTTGCCCAAGAAGGACATTATTCAAAACTATGATTAAAAGGGATTTTGGGGGCCCTCCTACCCCTGAAAGGGTGATAGTTGTCATTTCATTAATTCCCTTGGCAAACCTAATTTGTATTATTTAAAAAATAATTTGACTTCATGTTTTTGGGGAAGGATATTATTAATAATAAGATTTTGCCCAGGGGCACTCTTGAAGCACTCTTGGGGGGAAATAGACATTGACATATGCGAGTTGTATAGTTCACCTACAATCAAAGAGCATTCTGAACTCCACCAATGATGGAATTGAACCAAATATGGCACACAGAACTCCCACAAAAAACAGAAAATATATATCAGTGATTGGTTGGGGGGGGGGCACTAAAATACTGTTTGCTTACCGTTGAAAATTACCTAGGGCCATCTCTGACTAGATGGGACCACACTTCCACAGTTTGGTAGTCCTCCTGGACTTGGAACTGAACCTGGAGGCCCAGGTATCTGTGGTGGCTGGGAGGGTCTTTGCACAATTAAAACTTGTGCGCCAACTGTGCCCGTTCCTTGAGAAGCCAGATCTGACCACTGTGCTTCATGTCTTAGTTATATTCCACCTAGATTACTGAAATGAACTCTATGTGGAGCTGCCTCTGAAGAGTGCTCAGAAACTTGAGCTCATCCAAAGAGCTGCAGCCAGGTTGCTCATTGAGGCTAGCTACAAGAACCGGACAACCCCCCTGCAGCTCCACTGGCTCTCAGTCTGTTTCTGGGCACAATTCAAAGTGCTGGTTATAACCTTTAAAGCCCTAGACGGTTCAAGTCCAAGCTATTTGTCTGACTGCATCTCCTTGTACGAACTGCCCGGGCTCCGAGATCTTCAGAAGAGTCCCATCTCGCAGTTCTACCTCCATCTGAAGCTTGGTTGGTGGGAACGAGAGCAAGCCTTCCTTCTCGGTGGCTTCCCCTCAACTCTGCAACTCCCTTCTTCCCAGGAAAGCCAGAATGCCCCCCTCCTTGATGTCCTTCCACCTGTAGACTAAAACCTTTTTATTCAGGCAGGCTTTCAAAGAAGAAGGTTATTAAGATCCACTCAGGCAGTGCTGTGGTTTTAACTTTGAATATGCACTGAATATATTCAAATTGTTTTTAACTGTGATTTTGAATACTGTTTATATTTCTGTTTTAATGTTTGTATATTTCTATATTTTGTGTACTAATGCTTTTATGTTAAGCTGCTTTGAGTCCTCTTCAGAAGAGATAAAGCAGGATAATAATAATAATAATAATAATAATAATAATAATAATATTCTTCCTGCTTTCCCCTGCTTCCCCCTTCTTTCTTCAGTCAGGAGTTGGGTAACAACAAACTCCTGAAAACAGAGTCTTCTCTCAATTTTTGCACTCTGTCAAAATGGATTCCTGCAGGTGAACACAGGATATCTTGCTAGTGATTGATAATAATTATGAACCCTATAGAAACATCCAGTCATTTCAAATTACAATGAAATATTCTAATTTGCCCTTATTTGTCAATTCCCATTCCAACTACATGGTACATTTCTCTCATTTGCAGGAAGTAAGCTGCAGTGGGGTTCGGTGGTCCCCATGGCAATATTTCTATGGTGTTTTTCTGGCTTTTGGGCTGCAATGCCACTGCTGGGATGGGGCGAATATGACTATGAACCTCTAAGAACCTGCTGTACATTGGACTACACCAAAGGAGACAGGTGAGAGATTCGGCATACCAGGGGCTGGGGTTGAGAGGAGGGGATTGGAAAGAAGGGATGATTTGGGTACCTAGAGAGGCCCGATTCTGGTCCTCTGAAGATGAACTTCAGCCCTCACACCGAAGGTTATCTTTCCTTGAGTAGATGGCGTGTTTTAATTTATTTTATTTAAATATATATATCATACCCTAGAGAAAAAGACTACTTGACAAAATACAGATGGCCTTGCAACATTTTTAATAACTATTAAAACTGTTAATTCATTGCATCTAATGGTGTTCTTTAGTATTGCCAATTTGAAAACAAGAAAGGGCTCCAGTACCTTTAATTGTTCTGTAAAACTGTTAAATGCAAGCAGGTAAAAAAAAAGCAACATTTGTTGATTTTTCCACTTTTCCACAACTAAGGGTACAGGAACCTTCTCCAGTTTTCACTCTGGCAATACTAATTATTGTATACTTTAGAGCAGGGGTCCTCAAACTTTTTAAACCAGGGGCCAGTTCACTGTCCCTCAGAACGTTGGAGGGCCGGACTATAGTTTTTTAAAAAAAAATCAATAAAAAAATTCCTATGCACATTGCACATATCTTATTTTGCTGTGTGGAAGGGCCCTGAGAGGGAGGGGGTTCTTGCACATGTCTTATTTTGCTGTGTGGAGGGGCCCTTAGAGGGGGTTCTTTCTAGCCCTCTTTAGGCAGTAATTCCAGGAGCAGAGAATGGGAAATCTTCCTATTTCTAGTCTGAACAAAATCTGGCTACCAGTATTTAAAAAACTCTAAAATTATAACTGTAAATAAAGAACAACACTCAAACACAGGGGAACTCCAGGGAAAAAAATCAGGGCGAGCTAATCACTTCTCAACAAAGGATTCTCCCTAAAAACTGTCAGGCTATGAAATGGTAATCAAGGCGGCCAATTGAAACATTCATACCTACCTCCAACAGACAAGAGTTTTTTCTCCCACCCTGGATCTTCCACAATTTTCCTAGTTAAAGGTTTTCCTCTGACATGAAGTGCAGTCGTGTCTGACTCTGGGGTGTGCTGCTCATCTGCATTTCTAAGTCAAAGAGCTGGCGTTGTCCGTAGACACCTCCAAGGTCATGTGGCCGGCATGACTGCATGGAGCACCAGGGCAGCCTCCCTTGGCTGGCTCACGCTGCCCATCGGGCCTGACGGATAGCGTGAGCCTGCCAAGGGAAGAGCAGCCCCGCGCGGCCTACTTGCGTGTAATGCAATGTACTTTATGCGCGAGTAGGCCACGCGGAGCAGCTGCCCTTGGCTGGCTCACACTGCCCATCGGGCCTGACGGATAGTATGAGCCAGCCAAGGGAGGGGCACTGTGTGGAGGGGCGCTGCGCTCCTCCTCTGCGGGTCAGATAAGTGCCCTTGGTGGGCTGGAAGTGGCCCGTGGGCCATAGTTTGGGGACCCCTGCTTTAGGGTAAAGTAACAACCACCAAGCCTAAAACACTGCATCTCGCCTCTGTGCCACTATGGCTGGCATGCCTTAAAATTATATGTTTTGTCTACTCATTCCTTGAGAGAAGCTAGATTATTCTTCCACTAATGTTGCTATTACAACTTTAGGGGTAACATATTTTACTGTTCAACAACATGGATTCCATCTGAAACATTTGCTGCCTCTCCATTCCTGTTTTAGGTAGATAGATGCTCCATCCCAGATTTTCTATTGATCGTCTGAGAAACATTGAGAGTGTAGTTTTGAAAAGGAATTGTCTGAGACCCTTTCACTCCAGGCCTCTAAATGCCACAAATGAAGGAAAATGACCACCACTTTGTTGATTCAAAACTCAATATCCTGTGGTTGGAATATAATACTACTGAAAATGGCTCATTTTCACATGCAAGTCACTATGTGATGGTCAAGCAGTGAAGAGCTTTGTGGGGGTTTTTTAGCCTGGAATCAAAATTAATAGCAATTTTTTATGGAGTTGAACATTGCTTACTTACTTAGGCTATCCCTCGTTGTCTGAGTAAGATTGTACTCCAAATTCGGTATCCTGACGGTGGGTACGTAGGTGACTATGGAGCCCGATTCTTGACCTGCATGTTCTCCTGCAGTGAGGGCATCAATTTCCAGGTGGGAGGCGGTCCCAGTTGGGGTTGGCTTGACATGCCTTCCTCTTGGCATGTTTCACTCTTTCACCTTCCATTCTTGCCTCTTCAAATTCTACAGCACTGTTGGTCACAGCTGACCTCCAACTAGAGCACTCAAGGGCCAGGGCTTCCCAGTTCTCGGTGTCTACGCTACAGTTTTTACGGTTGGCTTTGAACATTATGGTAGGAAAAACCATGTAGAACATGTTGATTGTAAAGTCTTGGTTTATTGTCCAAAGAAGGGTGACCAAAATGGTAAAAGGCCTGGAAGACAAACCCTATGACGAGCAGCTTAGAGACTGGATATGTATAGCTTGGAGAAGTGAAGGTTAAGAGGTGACATGATAACCATGTTTAAACGTTTAAAACTATGTCAAGTTGAGGAAGACGCGAGCATGTTTACTGCTACTGCAGAAACTAGTACACAAAGGAATGGATTCAAACTGCAGAAAAAGACATTCTACCTAAAGACTGGAACATTTCCTGCCAAACTGAGCTATTCAACTATGAGATAGTTGACTCAGAAAATGGTGAAGTTTCTTTTTCTGGGGGTTTTTAAACAGAGACTATCCAGTGTCTAAAGTACTTTAGACACTGTCTTGTGTCTAAAGTACTTTGGTTTTGTGTTAATGAATGGCAGAAGGTTGTCTGCATGGTCCTTGTGATTTTTTTCAACTCTATGGTTCCAAGACTCTATTGTCGGTGGTTACTGTTGCTAAGACCAGCTTGTAGTTGAGCAGAACTACTCAGAATGATGTTTCTCTCTGTCTCATTCCCTCTCAGAAACTACATCACATATCTTATTCCTCTGGCCCTTTTCAATTTTATGATCCCAGTTTTCATCATGTTAACAGCCTACCAATCCATTGATCACAAATTTAAGAAAACTGGACAGTTCAAGGTAAGAAAACCTTCCAAATATATATTTAATTAAATGTTTCTGAACAAAGCTTTGAATGTATTGTCGAAGGCTTTAATGGCCGGAATCAATGGGTTGTTGTAGGTTTTTTCGGGCTATATGGCCATGGTCTAGAGGCATTCTCTCCTGACTCTTGTCTGCTGGAGCTAGGTGTGAATGTTTCAACTGACCACCTGGATTAGCATATAATTAGCATATAATAATTTAATTAATAATATAATTTTGTTCATTTTCATGGTTTCCTCCTTTCTGTTGAAATCAGCCATAGCAGAGCACCTGATGAACCAACCTGGACACAGCATTTTATTTGAGAACACAGAAATGCTGGACCACTCTCACAACCACCATGTCAGACTACACAGAGAAGCCATTGAAATCCACAAGCATGTGGACAATTTCAACAGAAAGGATGAAACCATGAAAATGAATAAAATCTGGTTACCAGTATTTAAAAAAACTCTAAAATTACAACAGCACAACAACAGAGAGGAAACAAACAAGGACATCTAATCACCTCTCAACAAAAGTTTGCCCTAGGCACTGTCAGGCCATTATATGCTAATCAAGGTGGTCAGTTGAAACATTCACACCTAGCTCCAGCAGACAAGAGTGCTTTGTCCCACCCTGGTCATTCCACAGATATATAAACCCTTTTTCCTAGTTCCAACAGACCTCACTACCTCTGAGAATGCTTGCCATAGATGCAGGTGAAACGTCAGGAGAGAATGCCTCTAGACCATGGCCATATAGCCTGAAAAAAACCCTACAACAACCCAAAGCTTTGAATGCTGCTTCCTTGCTTATTCAAGAAGGAATTTCATAGAGTTTGGTTGTATAATCTGCCATGCTGAAATGCCGTATGTACTCTTTGACTCTTAGAGAATATATATGTGATTTCATGAAAGAGACACACATGTACTCTGTTTACTATGATGCAGCCATGAAGCCCCCAAAGAGCTACTGCTGCCACCATTTTTTTTAGCATTACAAAGGGATAGAAGTGGCACCAGAGAAGCCAGAGGTACCAAATTAATCCATGAATAAACCCATACATTTTAGAGCCATCTTTTTTTTTAACAAAAATGTTTCAACTTGTACATGAATACTAACAATGTTTCATTCCTTATATAGTCATCTGTGACTGCAGTAATCCCTCACCACAGGCTGTGCTGGCTAAATTGATAGTAGCAGCAGTCGTGCAATATGTAGAAAGCCACAGTGGTTCATCCAACCAACACTTAGAATTTCAGGGCAGTAGCTGGAGACATGTCTCTGGAAAATGAGTCACCCACCACTGTTTTCCTTATTGCAGCACATTCACATGTAGAATGGAGAGTTTTTAGCAAGACAGATACTTTGAGAAGGAAGCCCAGCATATAATCTGATGCTGAACAATGACAATTTTTAAAAAGTATTTTCATCTAGGCAGTTTAAGTAAAAGAAACATTGTCTTGATCTCTGAAGATGGAAAAGACTTCACTGAGAAACTTAGAATATGGGGATGGGTAATATATGGCATGTTGAACATATGGCAGCTTCTCATCATCCTTAGCCATGCTGGTTGGAGTTGTTGGGATCTAGATTATCATAGTGTCTCCAATAAGAGACATACGAGGGGTATTTTTTAAGTAAGGTCCGTTTGAACATAAGTACACAACGAAAGTTTATTTCAAAAAAGTAAATTTATTTTCAGAAAGTACATACTTCACTCTATTTTTCGACATAGTTGCCAAGTTTGTTCAAACACTTATCATGCCTCTGAACCAATTTTAAAATACCCTCTTCACGAATCCTTGCTTCAACTGAAGCCACCAAATCGTCTGTAATCAAAGAAGGGCAACCAGAGCGTTCCTCATCATGGATGTTGTCACGGCCATCTTTGAATTGTTGTACCCACTTATGCACTTTGCGTTCACTCATAACAGTATCACTGTACACTTCACAAATCTGTCGATGAATTTCTGCAGCAGGCAGGTTCCTTGCTGAAAAAACCATATCACTGAGCGAACCTCACATGTGGCGCATGAGTTGATAGTCTTAAACATTTTTAAAGCACAGAACAGAACCGTACAGCTTAGCTACAGAGCGGAAACTGAGCACAGTTGTTCCCGAGGCATGCCGGTACACGACGCATGCGCTCGTTGCGGTATGCACGCGGACTACTAGTGTCTACAACAAAACGGACCTTACTTAAAAAATACCCCTTGTATATTCCTCATCTTGGCTGGAATGCATATTTTAAAAAATATTAGCCCACCATAATGACAAGCATTATTAGCTCTACTTTATCAGGCTTTCCCATCGTAATGTCCTTCTTTCCTCCTGGGGATGATACATTCTAACTCATCTGGAAGGCATTAGCTTGAACATGGTTGTATTATTTGGAAACAAATAAATATCCACCAAAAATGTAGGGAAGGTAGTATTTATTTTGCCTAAATCATAAAGAATAACATTGTACAAAACAAAAAAAATGATTAGTTTATTGTGTCTCTCCTGACATTTTATATGGATTATGATTAGGTACTGACACATTCTTTGTTCTTGTTTTTCCAGTTTAACACTGGTTTGCCAGTGAAATCTTTGGTCATTTGCTGGGGTCCTTACTCACTTTTATGCTTCTATGCTGCAGTTGAAAGTACGGCTTTCATCTCACCCAAAATCTTAATGGTATGTTAAAAAAAATCTGATATAGTGCTCTGCCTGTCCTTCACTTTCTCAGTTTCTTTTTTCTCGAAATATGCTGCTGTTTTTTCTGCCTGTTTTTTCTGCCTGTTTTTTCTGCCTGTTTTTTCTGCCTGTTTTTTCAGTGGGTCCTTGGCAATGGTTGAGGTTTGGTTCCTGGACCGCACATGGATACCATAATCCATGGATGCTCAAGTCCCATTATATACAATAGTGTGGTAAAATTATGTCCCTTATATAATATGGCAAAATCAAGGTTTGCTTGATCCAACAAATGGTGGATGGAGGACCATCTGTATTTTAGAATTTCTTTGGGTGGCACTTGTGAGCTTACCTTTTTATTCCAAGGCAGCCAAAGTAGCTGGGAGCTCCCTCTCTGTGTGTATGTGTGTGTTACTATTCAGTCTCTCTGGCTGCCCACACCTTTTGATCCATGTGAGGAATAACTTCTTGCCATCATTCCCTAGATCAGCGTTTCTCAACCTGGGGGTCGGGACCCCTGGGGGGGTCGCGAGGAGGTGTCAGAGGGGTCGCCAAAGACTATCAGAAAACACACTATTTTTCTGTTGGTTGTAGGGGTTCTGCATGGGAAGCTTGGCCCATTTCTCTCATTGGTGGGGTTAGAATGCGCTGTGATTGTAGGTGAACTATAAATCCCAGCAACTACAACTTCCAAATGTCAAGCCCTATTTTCCCCAAATCCCACCACTGTTCACATTTGGTCATATTAAGTATTTGTACCAATATTTGGTCCAGATCCATCATTGTTTGAGCCCACAGTGCTCTCTGGAGGTTGGTGAACTATAACTCCCAAACTCAAGGTCAATACGCACCAAACCCTTCCAGTATTTTCTGTAGGTCATGTGTGCCAGAGTTGGTTCAATTCCATCATTGGTGAAGTTCAAAATGCTCTTTGATTGTAGGTGAACTACAACTCCCAAGTGACAAAATCAATCCCCCAACCCCACATATCGGGTATTTGTGGCCAGTTTGGTCCAGTGAATGAAAATACAATCTGCATGTCGGATATTTACATTACAATACATAACAGTAGCCAAATTACAGTTGTAAAGTAGCAATGAAAATAATGTTATGGTTGGGGGTCACCACAACATGAGGAACTGGATTAAGGGGTCGAGGCACTAGGAAGGTTGAGAAACACTGCCCTAGATCTTTACTGAAGCATGGGAAGCCATAGACTGCAGAGCACTTGGAGAGGGTTCAATGATCAACTAATTTGGGGAAAAAATCTGGTACAAATTTGAAAGAGGAGCAATTTTTGATGACATTCTTTGTTGATGTTGCTAGTCTCCTGTGTTGAACATTATTATATTAGACCCAAGAACCCAGCACCCTGTTAGCAAACAATGTCACCAAATTTCACAATTTCACCTCCTTTAAATTTGTTCCAGAACAAGATTATTTTTTAAAACAAATGGAAGATGAATTTTGGCTCAACACCAATCAGTGTGAGGAAAATTAGCAACATTCGTTTGATTCACAAAAAATGTGTGCTTTGCAGCTTCTGAACAAATATTCAAACCAATTATTTATTTATTTATTTATTTATTACATATATTTCTACACCGCCCTTCTCCCCCCAAAGGGGGACTCGCATAAGCGTCATGTGATGCTGTCAACATATAAACAACAAGGGTTACAATTAAAACAGTAAAAATCATTAAAACACATTATACAGATACATTACCAAGTTCATTAAACAATAAATTAAAATGCCAGTTAAAACCAAGACCAAGTCGGGTAAATCCAATGTCGCATATGTCCCAACTGTGCTTCCAATTGTCGCTATCCACTAGATGAATGCCTGGTCCCACAGCCAAGTCTTCAATTGTCTTCTAAAATACAGGAGGGAGGTGGTCATCCTGATGTTCTTAGGGAGGGAATTCCACAGACAGGGAGCCACTACTGAGAAGGCCCCGTCCCTCGTCCCCACCAACCGCGTTTCTGAGAGTGGTGGGATCAAGAGCAGGGCCTCCTCCGACGATCTTAAGCTTCGTGATGGTGCGTAACAGTAGATACGTTTGGACAGGTAATCTGGGCCAGAACCGTTTAGGGCTTTAAAAGTTAAAACCAGCACTTTGAATTGTGCTCAGAAGCTGATCAGCAGCCAGTGGAGCTGGTGCAACGAAGGAGTAGTACGCTCCCTGTACGCCAGTCCAGTGAGTAGCCTGGCTGCCGACAGTTGAACTAGTTGAAGCTTCCGAAAAGTCTTCAAAGGCAACCCCACATAGAGAGTGTTGCAGTAGTCTATTGGGGATGTAACCAGAGCATGGACCACCGTGGCCAAGTTAGACTTCCCAAGACATAATTATCATTCAGTGTTCACATTTGCTGGATTTTTGTTCCACCTCTCCATGTTTTAAAGCACACAAAAATATACATATTCACAATTTTAGATCCTCCCATGCTGTTGGACTACAACTCCTGGGATTACTAAGCATTGGTCATGTTAGTCTTCTGGGGGTTGGTGCTCAACTATATCTGAGCATGCTCTTGGGAACCACAGGAAGAAATTCAATACCAACCAAGTTAGATATATCCATATTTTATGGTATATAGCTCATAAAATAATGTGTAAATTATTTATTTATTTATTTATTTATTTATTTAGCAGTTTTGTATACTGGTCTTCTCACCTCCATTCGAGGGACTCAGGCCGGTTTCCAACATCAATATTACAGTCATTAAAACATCATATTCTAAATCACACTAAAACATTAAAATAGCAAAATACAATCATATAATTACAGTGGTCAGTCGTCATCAAAAATCATTATTCGTCGTCATCCATCCATATCACAGGATCATGGCTCATTCGTCGAATGCCAATCCCAAAGCCAAGTTTTCACCTGTTTCCTGAACGTTAAGATAGAAGGGGCAGTTCTGATCTCCAGTGGAAGGGAGTTCCAGAGTCAAGGGGCCACCACCGAGAAGGCCCTGTCTCTCGTCCCCACCAGCCGCGCCTGTGAGGCCGGTGGGATCGAGAGCAGGGCCCCTCCAGACGATCTTAGCAATCTTGATGGTTCATAGGGGAGGATACGTTCGGACAGGTAAATTGAATACATGACCATGCTAGTCTGAGCTCATCGAGCACATCATATCTGGGGACTCAACTCTAAATGAAGGATGGTTGTTGACCCTAGAAATGAAGCCAACCGGCCTTTTAATTGTGATCCAACATATGTAGGTGAGTGGGCAAAGCCAATATTGCTGGTTTATCAGACCATGTTCAAGAACATGGTTGTTGTTGTATGCCTTCCAGTCATTTCTGTCTCATAGCAACCCTAAGGTGAACTTGTCATGGGTTTTTTCTGAGACTAAGTGTGTATGATATACTCAAGGTCATCCAATGGGCATTTAAAAAATCACTTGCAGCCCAGAATCTCACCCAAACCAACTGCAGTTCATTTTTTCTAAAACTCTCATAGAGAAAGCATGACCCCGTACTAATCTCATGCTAACCAATGTGCTTCCTAACAGATTCCTGCTGTAATTGCCAAAACTTCACCAGCGGCGAATGCCTTAATCTATGCCCTGGGGAATGAGAACTACCGAGGGGGAATATGGCAGTTCCTCACAGGACAGAAGATCGAGAAAGCAGAAGTCGATAACAAAACTAAGTAACACGTCACCCCATTCAGCTGAGCGCTTCTTCACACTTGACATTCTTTACCTTAGTTCTGTGGGCTTTGTTTTTTCAAGTGTACATTTTAAAAGGTAACATGTGAATGGATATTTTTAATGATGATCTCTTACAGGTGCATTTAGTAAGCAACCTGCATTGGCTGCGGCTTCCTGTGGAGTGTACACACAGTGTTCAATTCAGGTTTGCTGTTATGTAATGGGTGAAATGGCTCTCAACTGAGGCAGGCATAACACAGCCAAAAGTAACCAGTAGTAGAAGCCACATGCATTTTCTTTAACTATGGTTCCACACTGGAAGCATTTTTTGTTTTTGCATTGTCTGCCAGCAATTAGTGTAGTGTTGAAAGGATGCCATGTAGATATAACTGTTGCAGTTGTCTTTCAACCTGTCATGTGTTATTTGTCAAATAATCTGCCTTCACCCTCTGCGAGCCCATGTTGGACTTGTTTTATGTGTCACAGCAAATAAATTGGAAGTTGTGAAGTGCCTTTGGCAGAGGGAAGGGTAGACAAACTGGGCAAATGTCGGAAAACAAACAGTAGAAAATGAAACACTGGTCAGGGCTGCTAGAACGGATTTCCATTTGATGTGTACATATGGCATTTCTGGGTTATTGAGAGATTAAAGCAGTTATCCAGTATTGTTATGCCATATGTTTGTGCCTGTGCTTTCCATTTGCATTAAATGGATGTTGGTTAAAGTAGGGTATTCTTCTGAGATACACTGCTCCTTGGTGTGTACCATTTATTTCAACTGACATCTGATGCCGAACTGGATATTTCAAAAGCTAACATTGCCAAATAAGTATATACTATCTCATGTCTTATATAGATATAGTGCTTCTCAGTCTAGCAGTCTCCATGAATATCTTGCTATGTTAATGGAGTCTGACAATGTATGGAACTGTTTTGTTTTCTTCTGATGTTCTGACAGTCAATTGTTGTAGAGACACGGCATCCCTCCCCTTGCCTCTTTCCCAAGACTTGAAAATATTCTTTTTGATGCGGGGTCTGAAAGATACATCCACAAGATTTGCTCTCCCTTCTGCAATGGGAGCAACTTACTGCAGCATGGAGATAGAAGTTAAATTGTGTTGTTGTAGGTTTTTTCGGGCTATATGGCCATGGTCTAGAGGCATTACCTCCTGACGTTTCGCCTGCATCTATGGCAAGCATCCTCAGAGGTAGTGAGGTCTGTTGGAACTAGGGAAAAGGGTTTATATATCTGTGGAATGACCAGGGTGGGACAAAGGACTCTTGTCTGCTGGAACTAGGTGTGAATGTTTCATACCTGTTTCAACAGGCCTTTGACTTTTGATATTGCTGTTTTTAAATTGTTTTTAAATTGTGTTAGATTTTAGCCATTCTTGTAAGCTGCTCCGAGCCCCAGGGGAGTGGCGACATATAAGTTCGAATAATAAATAAATAAATAAACTGACCACCTTGATTAGCATTTGATTGCCTGGCAGTGCCTGGAGCAGTCTTTTGTTGAGAGGTGATTAGATGTCCTCTCTGTTGCTGTGCTGTTGTAATTTTTGAGTTTTTTAATACTGGTAGCCAGATTTTGTTCATTTTCATGGTTTCCTCCTTTCTGTTGAAATTGTCCACATGCTTGTATTTCAATGGCTTCTCTGTGTAGTCTGACATGGTGGTTGTGAGAGTGGTCCAGCATTTCTGTGTTCTCAAATAAAATGCTGTGTCCAGGTTGTTTCATCAGGTGCTCTGCTATGGTAATTTCAACAGAAAGGAGGAAACCATGAAAATGAACAAAATCTGGCTACCAGTATTTAAAAAAACTCTAAAATTACAACAGCACAACAACAGAGAGGAAACAAACAAGGACATCTAATCACCTCTCAACAAAAGTTTGCTCTAGGCACTGTCAGGCCATTATATGCTAATCAAGGTGGTCAGTTGAAACATTCACCTAGCTCCAGCAGACAAGAGTCCTTTGTCTCACCCTGGTCATTCCACAGATATATAAACCCTTTTTCCTAGTTCCAACAGACCTCACTACCTCTGAGGATGCTTGCCGTAGATGCAGGCGAAACGTCAGGAGAGAATGCCTCTAGACCATGGCCATATAGCCCGAAAAAACCTACAACAACCCATTGATTCCGGCCATGAAAGCCTTCAACAATACACAGAAGTTAAATTCTTCCTCAAAATGCTGAGTTGAAAGGAAAAGAAAAATCTAATTGAAAACATGATATCTCTGGACCATGGTTAGTAGAGGTGTGCACAACTCCAAAAATCCACTTAATTTGTATTTACGAAATTCCTGCTACCTCTGTTTTGATTCTAAAGTGTTTTGGACAATTCCTAAAGAGTCCAGGTTGTATCTAATATGAAATGAAAAGAAATTCATTTTTTTCCTTTCATTATTTCAAAAACCTACAAGAGCTAAGCTATACCTGGTGGAGGAAGAGACCCCATAGGCCTCTACTTAAAGATTTCCAAAGGGGGGAGGTTAACTACTCTCTGAGGCAGTCCATTCCACTGTCAAATACATCTTGCTATCAAACAGCTCTTAACATGGAGTTTCTAAATCCACTGGTTCAACTGTTACTCTTTGTAGCTTCAGAAAACAAACTTGTCCCATTTTCCACATGACATCCCTTCAGATATTTTAATATAGCTATCATGTTGCCTCTCACTCTCCCCTTCTCCAAACTAAACACACTCATGTTCTTCATCCTTTCCAAAGAACTTGGTTTCCAGACCATTTCCCTTCTTTTGAAAGTGTCAAAATGAATTCTCCAGTTCTTCATAACAACTCAAGCTCATTATTCCAATTTATGGAACTATAATTGTTGGATGCATGAATGGTGAAAAAGAAACAAGGGCAGATTTGTGCTCTCTTAGACCCACGTGCACAAAAACATCTTACCAACTTATGAGATCTCCCATCCTCAGCAGATTTTAATAGGACTTTTGGATTGGCTAGCTTGCATGCCAAACTCTGGATAGACACCCAAATTCTCAATGTTGTCTTTTTTAAAGCTTGTCATGTCAAAATAATTCATGACACCTAAAAGCTCAGTCATAGAATCATAGAGTTGGAAGAGACCTCATGGGCCATCCAGTCCAACCCCCTGCCAAGAAGTAGGAAAATTGCATTCAAAGCACCCCCGACAGATGGCCATCCAGCCTCTGTGTAAAAGCTTCCAAAGAAGGAGCCTCCACCACACTCCGGGGCAGAGAGTTCCACTGCTGAATGGCTCTCACAGTCAGGATGTTCCTCCTCATGTTCAGATGTCATGAAGAATTTGATTTTAAATAACTCGGTATTGAGTCTCTTAGAAAGACATCAGCGCAAAATTGATAGAAATATATTC